ATATATGTGTGTGTGTGTGTGTGTGTGTGTGTGTGTGTGTATGTATGTACCTGTTAAGTTGTTTTCATTAATATAAAGAAGCAGATTGATCCGTGTAATTAGTAAAATCACACCTTGACCTTTTTCTGGCTTCAGAAAACAGCTGCTTCATTAGTCTTTACCGCTACCTGTTACAAACACATCTAAAGCTTTTTCAGAGCTTTTCATCAAGTTAGGCCATTTATGGTGAGGGATATTTTAAATACTAAATCGTTTACTTTGTCTTCATATCCTGCACACTTTAATCATTTAGCATGTACCCATGGATGTTTCAGATTGATAAAAGGCAGCTTAAGTTGTAGATGAGACTAATAACAGGAGACGTGGGAAAGAAGTTTGCAATGAAAACAAGCAACGGGGAGTCATCAACACTGTGAGCAGCCAAACGTATTAAAAACAAAAGCCCTGCTCGGAGAGAGGCAGCTAACAGGCGTTACGCTCTCAACAGGAGAGAACTCCAGATGTGCCGTGTCTCGTTGGTGACAGCTCGATGAGCCTCACATGAAAACCGAATCAGCTCGTTGCTCTCGTTTGATGATTCTAGGGAATTCTTCCGAGAGAAGTCGGTGCTTTAATAAAGATATCAAAACAAACGTGCGCACCAGGATCTCACCACAAAAAAAGTGTGGGGATTTTATTTAAAAGAGAGGGAACATCTCATCAATACGCAATTAGCCTCTCTCACCAGAATGTTTTTATTAACTTTCATCTCTTCTATAGTTACCCTCATAGTAATAGAGGATAATAAAAATACATTCCTTCTGCACAGTTTTGTTATAAACATCCAAATTAAGGATGCACAATATATAATTTTTAGTCGATATCTGGGCAGCACGGTGGCACAACTGGTAGAGCTCTGCCTCTCAGTGAGCAGGTCCCTGGTTCAAACCCCGGTCCAGGGGCCTTTCTGGGTGGAGTTTGCATGTTCTCTCCGTGCATGCGTGGGTTTTCTCCGGGTACTCCGGTTTCCTCCCACAGACCAAAAACATGCATGTTAGGCTGATTGGTAACTCTAAATTATCCCTAGGTGTGAGAGAGAGTGAATGGTTGTTTGTCTCTATGTGGCCCTGTGATGGACTTGCGACCCGTCCAGGACCCGTTTATATGTGTGTATATAAACACCACGTTTTATATCGGTGAGATATTTTGATGGAATGGCCGATGTCCGATATTTAACTTTATCGCTAATATTGCCCGATACCGATACCATGCCGATAATATCACGCATCCCTAATTAAAATAATATTTTTGTCTTGTTCCTTCTAGTTATATAACAGAACTGATTTGACAAAGTAATGAAAAGATACAAAACTGCCTGAGGGATTTCATGCTTAATGGTAATTTACATAAAATTCAGTAATTTCCTTATCATTCAGCACAGTGTGTTTTTATATTTCTAATTATTTTAAAAATGCCCCCACTCCCAAACTTCTCACCCACCCACCATCTGCTGTCAGTGTTTTCCACCTCTTTGGCACAGCTCCATTTTCTCCTCTGTGATTTTTTTTTTAGGCTTGTCTGTAAAAGCAGACTGATGAATATTTAATAGTTACTGGCAATGGTTTTATAGTCGCCCGGTCATGCACTGAGCTTGAATCACCTGCGGTGCTCAAACTGCTCGAACTCTTGTAACCAAAAAGCAATAAGTTCAAACATGGAGTACAAGAGAATTGGTTTATTACATTATTCTGAATAAAAAAAGAAACGAATCACAAATGTTTGACTAATTTACCTTTTTTTTGTATATGTTTCAGTTCATTCAAGCACTTGATTGGAGGTTTGGAGGATGTGTCCAGTAAAGGCCATGAAGATGCTGATGCAAAAGCCAAGTAAGTTAAACAAGTTCAAACATCTAACGAGAAAGTGTTTGTTCACTTTAAAGTCTCAGCTCCTCATGCTTAACGTCTTTAGGAATGTTACACAATAAAAATACAGAATACAGATCGCCACAATTGTAAACTAAGATTGTCTTTAATTTTTAACACAATCTCATATCACCAGATGGTCCACTCAGTGTGTTGAAAGACCTTAAGCTCTTATTACACCAACATTTAGTTCTGTATCTATAGAGCTTACTAAATTATAGCCATTTTTGTCGGCTAAAATAAATTACCTGCAGCAGCTGCCTTGAGTTGAGTTGACTTTAAGTCATTGCGCTGTAGGGGTACATGCAGTGGTTATTTTCAGAAGGTCTAAATCAGGGGCGTCCAAAGTGTGGCCCGAGGGCCATTTGCGGCCCTTGGAGTGATTTTGTGCGGCCCTCGACTGCAGTTAAACAATTGTATAATTTTGACCCACAGACTTATGAACGTTGATGCAGATGTAGACCTTCTTTAGTTTCAATGGTGAGACTTTTTTTTAAATGTAATGTTTAGGTTTAACAACAAAACAGATGAAAATAATATTCTTAAAATGAGCAAATTTAAGTACAATACAAAAATGTTGCTATAAGTAACTTCTTTATCCTACACCAAACCTTCACTTGTCTGCAAAAAATTAGAATTTTTATTAATAATTCATAAAACTTGGCTAAATGTTTTTAAAGAAAATAATTTCAGTTGAGTTAATAATCGATGGGGAGAAATTGGACATTTTTATACGAATATTAAGTATCATCGACATACAAGTTGATCAACTTTATCAGTGTCCTTTCAAACCTTCTATGAACCTGTTTCAGTGACTGCCAGCTGTTTTTCAGAACTTTGATGACCCGTTTGGGCCATCTGTGGTCCAAACAGGGGACTGAAGTTCCTACCTCTTTTTTAAAGAACAGTTACTCATTTTAGGCTTTTACCTATGAAAACAAATGAACTTTCAAAGCACAACAAAACAAACAATAGTCCCCCAAAAATCTAATAAATTAAATTATTTAAAAGAAGACAGAAAAGGAAAAAAGGTTAATGTTTATGAGGCTCCTAATGTTCTGGAGCTACAATAATTTAAACTAAACTTTTAACCTTTCTCCAAAATATTATTCAAGTTGTTAAAATGAGGAGAAAAAAATATATCACGCTTTAAAAATGATTTTTTCTGTCTTAAATTCAGATTTTTCTGGCCTGTGAAATCTTTCATCTGGACAGTTCTGGCCCACCTGTAAAAATGTTTAGACACCCCTGGTCTAAATGAAATCCATCTTGTGGTTCATTAGATATTTTAATAATCAGTTACCAGTCAGAATGGCAACAAAGATCATGCACAATCTGTTAGTGCTCAGATTACCGTACTTGCTGCCGTATACGTCACACTGCTGTACAAGCCGCATCAGTCAAAATATGTCTAATAAAGTGAAAAAAAACAAACATAAATACGTTGCTTCACCATATAAGTCACATTTGTTATGCGTCACTGCTGACCACACGGAAACGTGGGACAGTGTTGTGCTAAAAATTGATTGTCTGACGAATGGCGGCTGAGCGAGCATGAATGGGAGGACTTTAACAAGAATTTAACAAGATTAACACTTAAAAACAATTATTTGTTTGCTTGACATTATAATAAAGGTGTGTCTCAGTTGAACTTGTCATTAATAAATGCACTTTAAAGGTCAAATCAGCCGCATTTTGCCTGGGCGTCGTGGCAAAATGCAGCCGATTTGAAGTTTGCTCCAGGAGATCTGAAGTGAGACAACGGTGGCTTGGTATGGCAAGCCAAGTGTCTCATTAATAGCTACTTTTACCTATTAATGAGCCACTTGGCTTGCCATACAGGTTGAGGGCCCTCTAGCAGCTGAAAATGGTAGTGTTCAATATTTTCCATGTCAGAATGAATGAAATTGTCAGATCTCAGCCAGAAAGTTGGGTTATAAATATGGGGAAAAAACATAAATACATATTTTGCCATAAAGGTCGCAGGGCATGCACATTTATGCAAAAAGGTGTGACGTATATAGTGAAAAATATGGTATGTGTAAAAAATTAAGAGAAAACTGACAATTTTTTTTCAGTTTTTTTAGGGTTAGTTGGCTGTGGCAGCCATGTTGAATCAGGCTGACTCCAAAAGTTTGTCTGTTTAGACGTCAGTTCAATGATTACTTTCTGCAAGTTTCATTAAAGTTTGTCTCATGGCTCTTGATGTATTTTGATAACAGACACAAGCAGAAGCAATATTGTCCCCTTCCAATACATGTAACAAACCAAACAGCAGAATCCTCCTGGTAGATTTTTAATGTTTTCATTGATAATGATATCAATATTACTATTAATAATCACAATAGAAGCACTAAATGAGCACCATAGACGGTACAGTTTTATGTTCGCATAAAGGGAATCAGTTTGCGGTTGATTCAGACATCTAATGACACACTTTCACTCATTGTGCACTTTGTCAGAAATCAAGGTGAGAACCAACAGAGAGATAAAGATGTGCAACACACACGCTAGACTTTTCCGTGTTGCTTTGAATTTTTAGCCATCTGTTGAAATCTTTTGCAAGTCTGTGGCATTTACTCAGCAAAAACAAGCGGTGGCACCAGTTACTGAGTGTTAAAGAGGCACATGTGGCAAATCAGGAACGCAACGTTCATCCACACGATTCCTCAGCCAGCAGATGTGTGAGAAACACAAACCTGCAGTGCACATTCCTGACCCCATTCTTCCAATCTCACTGTCTTTAGGATAGCAAGTTTGTTTCTCTGCAAATCATCGAAGAAATTATATATTTTCTGCATAGTTTGTAGCATTAGGTAACATTTCCTGCCTGCTGCCTCCCCCAGCAGAGCACATTTGTCTCTTGGTGAGGAATTCCTGAGTCAAGATCCCACGGTGGTGGAAACAATCTCTAATTGGCCGCAGCCAATAGACACATTTCAGCGGCGCTGTAGCTGCACAGCAAACTCCAGCTGCTCCCTGCGAGTTTGACAGGTCTGCTCTTTAAAGACTGCGCTGTGTGCGCACGTTGCTTCTCACTGAACCGGTTCTGTTTTCAGGAGAAGCGTCATGTTCTACAAAGTAGAGCAGACATGTTTGACATTACGTTTCACCATTTAAACCACGTGTAAAGCCTGCTTCATTGGAAGGCAAGGTGAGAATTGGTAAATATTGTTTAAATGTCAGAAGGTTACCTTTTGTCCTGTCATCCCTGACTTTCTTGTATGGAGCAACTAAAACTAGTTTCTTAGTTCTGACATTAAACTTGTAAAGTTGACTTTCCTCTAATAGCTTAACGCTGATTACGTTTCTCTTTTTTTTATATAAATAAGTCCCTTTTATTATCCTTTCAAGCTGGCACGTCAGCTCACATTTAATTGTTATTCTTTTTTATTCAGGGAAAAAGTGACTAAAACATAATGAGAAAATGCAACCCTGCGTGATGCACTTTTTCTCACGTGTTGTTGTGCAAGTGCGACAGTTCAGTAAGAAGCAGATTCTTTTAGATAAAAGTAGCATTTAAAGAGTGTCAGATATAAGATCACAAGTGTTTTCTTGTTGCTCTCGAACAAAAAGAACAGGAGCAAAAATAAACAAAGGTAAAAGCAGAGAACGCATACTTGCACATGAAATACTCTCTCACACACTTACCATGGGGGGTTGCATCATTTTTTATGACCTCATTTGTTCAGATGTACAGATTATCACCCACTGGGGTGCCACTTGACCTGTGGGAGGAAACAGCCGACCAAGTAATGGATTTTCCAGCTAACATGAATAAGTAACATGTTGTTTTAGTGTCACCTAATGGACCTTAAAGATGTATAATTAATCCGGATGACTTTGCAACGTTGAATGCTGCTGAGGACTGTGTTAGTGTTCATTAAAGGTCAGGGTCATAACATCTATTTAGGTTGTTGTGTAGTTCCAGTCCCAACGGATCTGTTTGCTAGTATCATATTCTAGATTCTGATAATCTCATGTCTTAGTCACGTGCACAAATCTTTATACACTCTTCCTTATTTAAAACACATCTATGCTTTTCATTGATTCTGACGGGGCCTGTGTGTGTTTATTTGGGATTTAAGTGAAAGACTGCAGTATTTTAAACACAGTCAAATGCAGGAAAATGAGTGTTTCAAAGCATTTTTGTTTCCTCCTATGAAAGTAATCAGTGTTGCTGCAGAACTGAATAAATTAAAGCATTTTCCCCAACACTCAAAACAAAGTTAATTTTGTGGTTTAGCTTTTGCTTTAGTTACCGGAAGTGTTTTTTTTATGAGCATGCTGCTACCTGCTGGCCAAATAACACCATTACTACTAAATCATTTCAAACAAGTTGGAAATTTCCTTAAATTGTTGTTATCTTTCTGCTGACTTCCTTAGATACATAACTTTTACTAATTGTTTTTTTTTACTGTATGTGAGTGTTTTTGTTCAGACAAGTTCTGTTGAGACTTGGCGCTATATAAATAAACTGAATTAAATGTATTCATATCTTGGAAGAACTCATGAAGCAGTCTTCATTGACAGAACTGTGACACCATATGGCTACACCCATATAGTGTTTGTTTTCCACATGTTCATCAATAAATCTACATTTTTCTGCTCAATTTTATTAGTAATTCTGACCCCCATCAAAAAAAAAAAAAACTTTTGTAATTTGATGAACTTTTGATTATCTTTATCTTGAGCAGAAACTCATTTCTTTTACTTGCTTTTTTTCTGGGCCAGTGCTGATGAGGGGAGGGTGGGAAAGATGAAAGGATCATCTCAAAATGTCACATGATGGTAATAGTGCCTACACAGACACAAATAAAACGTGAGCGTCCTGGTAACCCGGTTTGTTTTCTGAGAAACATTGCGCTCAGTAACCAGCCAACACGTGCCAAACCAATGCACAGGGCTCATAAAATCTGGTTTTGTCGTAAATATTTTTATTTAAATTAACCTAAATCCTCCAAATGAAGGCAGTTACTTGAATTTAAACAAGTTTTTCCGTAAAGCTTTTTGAATGCCTGTTATTTAACATGCTGTCAAGCTGTTTTTATGTAAAAGTCTGAAGTCTGAGGAAGCCTCCAGTCTCAGATCTGTCCTAAGCTCACTGATCCATAGACTGAGCTGATGAAACTCTGTCTGGATCGAACAACCAGCAGAAAAGACAGGGGCCACCTGGGGATATGGGATGGACACGTGGAATCAATCTATGCCGCCAGCATGCGCGGGTCCACAGTTGCATGTTGTGGTGTTCAGTGTTCAGTGGCAGAGCCGAGGCATGTCTTCACAGCCAACAGAAGAGCGCGGCCTGTGTGACTGATAGTCCACTTGTGCTCTTTCCTGTCAAGAATGGGGACAGCCTGTGTTCAAACAGAGGGTCAAGACGATTTGCCAGGGGACTCACTCAGCACAAACACTTCCTGTTCACGTGTTAGCGTTTATACACTCCACATCCTCACAAACATCCTCGATAGATTACTGTGTTTTAAATCCCCCTAAGATTTGCAAACAAATGAGCTCAGGGAGAAACGGATATTTATTTTTTCACAGGTTGTTGAAAGTGGATTACACGTTCTTTCATCCTTCATCTTGTCTCTAATCCTTTTCCCATGTTTTCTTCCCCCCCGCTTTTCTCTGGTACCACAGGTACGAGGCAGAGAATGCATTTTTCTTCACTCTTAACCTGGCCGACTTTAACATCATCGACACTCTGGGGGTTGGGGGTTTCGGACGTGTTGAGTTGGTATGGGACACTGCAATGCAACATCACAATGAAAAGAAGAAATCCATACTTGAGAAGTGTTTATCAAGCTGTGGTAGGCAGCATGCTTGTGTTTAAACTACACTACTTTCCCAGGTTCAACTCAAAAGCGACGAGAACAAGACCTTTGCCATGAAGATCCTGAAGAAGCGGCACATTGTCGACACGAGGCAGCAGGAGCACATTCGTTCAGAGAAGCTCATCATGCAAGAGGCCCACTCTGATTTTATTGTTAGGTACACATCCTGAATAGTGATTAAAAAGGCTATGTGGAAAATGTTTTTTCATGCTTGACATTTCTGGAAGATCTTTGCTTTATTAACTTGGAGCCAGGAGTTCCTGGATTTAATTGCTAAAGTTTTATCTGTGGGACGGGCTGAGCAAGATCTTGTTAGTAAAGGTTTTCTAAAACAATCAAACAAAACCTGCAATTAAATTCATTTTACTTCTGATCACTACAGCAAAGGTAATTATACTTCAATAAAAGGCTAACTGGATAATCTTAGTTATAATAAAGCATTTATATGCTGCAGATTTCTTCATTTGGGCTTGTTATGTCTAGTTGAAGCTGTCCTGACATGGTGAGGTGCCTGAACATGTATGACACTAAAAACCTTAAAGAAAACACAGTCCAGAATCTTCAGCATGCTTCTGTTTGTACATCAAACCCAAACTGCCGCAGTATTGAAATTATATGGGATACAGATGCTTTCCCAAAACTTGGTTCAATACTCATATATAATTTACCATTGACGAGGTGCTTTTATCCATATGAAAAAAAAAAACCGCAATGATTTTTTTTTTCCATTTAGCTGACCTGACATTAAAGTTTTTATGAAGCCCAAGAAAAAGCAGTGGCTGAAATAGACACATAAAATACAAGCTTAGTATTTGACGAAGCATAAGATGAAAGAAGTAGATGTTAGATGTTAGAAGCCCAAGTAAACTGATATGCACCAAATCTAGTTGATGTTTTTGGAGGTTACTGCAAGGTGCAGAACGAGAAGGATGATGTGGGTTGATACCAGGGGCGATTCAACCTTCAGGGGTGCTTAGCCCCCATTGCTGACAATGGCTCTTGGCTTGAACAACGTGGTGGCCTTTGGCATCAGAAGCAGTCATAATGTTGAGGGCATACCCTGGCGGGGGGTGGGGAAGTTTTGAATAAAGTAGATGCCATTTCCTGCATCCTGGTGTGTTTTCACAGGTTGTTAAACATTTATGTTTACCTACACAAGTAAACACTTGATTCAATAACTATTTTAGAGATGGCACAACAAGAAGTAGCGCTAAGCTAGCGGCCTGCAATACAGATGCGCTAGCTAAGATGCTACAAACGTAGTGCATTGCTTTATATAAAACAACTTAATAAACACTTTGTACAAACATCAGTTTAGTGTTACCTGATCATAACATACACAACATACCAGAAGTTGCAACACGGCTGTATCTAAACACACAAAACAAAGCACAACTAGCTTTAATCATTAACCTTTAATTGAAGCATTAAGCGTACCTGCAGTTACCTTCGTACAAATGAACGTGTGGTACTTTCTGTTTATCACTGTTGTATTCAAAATTGTTATTTATTTATTGCTTTATTTTTCAGGGGTGCTGAGTTAAAATTTAAGGGTGCTTGAGCACCCCCAAAAAGAGACTAAAATTACCACTGGTTGGTAGTACATACCTTTAAGATATAAAGAAAAGGTGTCATTCATAAATGGCAATACAACCCCTGGAGAAGGTTATTCAAAGAAGTGAAACATGCTCGTTCATCCATTGTTATATCAATAAATAAAGGATTTATTGGTGTTAATCCTTTTTTTTTTTTTTTTTTTTTTGACCACCATTTATTAGTCCCCAGTTCAAATGTTGTTAGCTATTTATGTTTTTTATGGCTGATTTGGATAAACTTTTTTTTTCTTTTTTTAGACTATATAGAACCTTCAAAGACAGTAAATACCTCTACATGTTGATGGAAGCGTGTTTAGGAGGAGAACTGTGGACCATCCTTCGAGACCGGTAAGCTCCAAAACGGCAATTCTAAAAATGTCAATTTTAAATATGCAGAAGTAGAGCGAGTATAGCAATGCATACCGTTTTCTGTTTTACTAGCCACATAAACCTTAAACAGATCTAGTTTACAGTCTTTGTGCATATTCCCTTATTTTTTAACCATTCCACTTGGTTGTCCTGCTGTGTTTCCAGAGGCTCTTTTGAAGACTCAACCACCAGGTTTTATACAGCCTGCGTGGTGGAGGCCTTTGCTTATCTGCATTCCAAAGGTATCATCTACCGAGACCTGAAACCAGAAAACCTTATATTGGACCACAGGGGTTATGCCAAACTGGTAAGAAATCAATATGTAGTCACCAGCCATCCTAACAAGGTGTGTGTGTGTTTTCCAGACATCTAAGTGATGCAAACAGGAGAAATCTTATATCTCTCTAGTCTTACAATACATTTTCTCATACTAGCTACAAATTAAAAAAAAAAATAAAAATCCAATTGGGTTATATAGTGTTCCAGGCTGTTCCAGTCTCTGCTTTACAAAACACCAAGCTGCCCTCTATTAAAGCATGCGTTGTAACTTTTTCCAACTTTATATTAAAGCATGAACATCAGTAGTATCAAATAAGGATTAACGTGGCGTGAAGTGTATCCAAATTCTGATTGTGCTTTTAATAGATTTGAACCAAATCTCTCTTACCATCAGGTGGACTTTGGCTTTGCGAAAAAGATTGGGTTTGGGAAAAAAACATGGACCTTCTGTGGGACACCAGAGTATGTAGCACCGGAGATCATTCTGAACAAGGGTCACGACATCTCAGCCGACTACTGGTCTCTGGGGATCCTCATGTTTGAGCTTTTAACTGGCAGGTACACACAAGCCTGAACATGTCTGTAATTATGTTTATTCCATGTGATGGGATACATCACCACATAACGCTCTATTTTAATAACTGTTCATGCTAATGTCTCCCCCATTTTCTTTTTTTTTAAACTAATATCTTGGTCCTTTCTTACATAGTCCTCCATTCTCTGGGCCTGATCCAATGAAAACTTACAACATTATTCTGAGAGGTATTGACATGATTGAATTCCCAAAGAAAATTACCAAAAACGCTGCCAACCTAATCAAAAAGCTATGCAGGTAGGTGCTGGTCCTTGTAGCGTTTAGACAGTTATTTATTTATGGAATCTGGAAGCTGAATCTGTTTTTTGTTCTTAAGGGATAATCCTTGTGAAAGACTGGGAAACTTGAAAAATGGTGTCAAAGACATCCAAAAGCACAAGTACGTAAAGTTATCACGTTCTAAAATTGTTTTAGTGTTTTTGTGTTGCAATCAACTCGTCCCATTTTTCCTTCAGATGGTTTGAAGGCTTTAACTGGGAGGGTTTGAAGAAGGGGACGTTGACGCCTCCTATTATTCCTAATGTGAGTGCACGATCCCGACAATGATTTAGTCTTTTGCTCTCAGTTGCATATAATCAAAAGCTATTTGATGGGGTTTGTGTATTTTCTCTCTTTAAGGTCACGTCACCAGTTGACACAAGTAACTTCGACAGCTTCCCTGAGGACAACGAAGACCCGCCTCCAGACGACAACTCCGGCTGGGATGTTGATTTTTGAAATCCGCTTCGCCACTTAAAACCAAAAGAAACTCTTCTTTTGTTTGGCTTTGGATGGCCATTTTGAGGACGTGATCAGTTGTTGAAAAATAAACTGCATTACATTTTTTTTTAAAGATGATATCGAAAAGATGCTAAACAAGATGGATGGCAAACCCTCTGGGTCACCGAAATGCCTTTCTCTTCCCCACTGTGGCTCTGGATAAAGCATTTTCTAATGGGACCGCTGTAGCACTCCTTCAGTGTTGTCTTACACTCAAGTTTATAGGCAAAAGCAACGATAGTGCAGGGATACACAGACATACACACACAACAGAGGCTGATAATGGAGACGCTTTTTCTCACATAGATGGGGAAAATGTTTAACGGATGTCTGAATGTTTGATTTCTTGTGATTTTAGAACTAATAAAGTGAAAACGTGGACGACCAGTTAAAAAAGAGAAAAGACTGATAGGTAATGATTCCTTTCTGGGTTTGTTTGGTGAAATAATTGCTGAATGATGGGATGTTAGAGCAGTTGCTGCCTGGCTTTTCATGTGCAGCACACTCCTAAAATCCATGATACTTTCCAGATATGTACACACTAGCTGCAAGTGCTCAAGACTATTCTGAATGTCAAGGACTTTCATCTTACTTAGCACACCTATAAGGCATACTCGGGACATAGTATTTGAATACGCACACACAAACAATCGGGAGCAAATAAAAAATTTAGTACACTCTGGGTGAGATTTATCTACCTTGAAAAGCACAAACACTGTGGGCAGGGGTCTGCAACCTGCGGCTCTGGAGCCACATGCGGCTCCTTGGTTCCTCTGCAGCGGCTCTTTCAAGCTTTGACCAAAACTAACAGCAAACTGAATTTTGTTGCTTGTACACAAGCAACAAAATAAGTACTTGTTTTAGCTGTTTTCCTGTCATTTCTTTTGCAAATACTCACTTGAGCTTTATTCCTATACTTAAATATTTTTCCACAATTTAAAAAAATCACATAGGTCTGCATAGTTCATAGGTTCTTTTATTTAAACTAGGGATGCACGATATTGGATTTTTGGTTGATATCCAATATGCCAATATATTAAAACTTATTTTGCCGGTAACCAATACCAATACCGATATTTGCCCCCTAGACCTACTTACAGAGACTACATAGCTTTTGCCGCTGAGAATTAAAATACTACATTCTTCTGCACGGTCTTTGTCACTTTGACCTGTTACCAAATGCAGATGCCAAAAAGGGGCTAAAAATGATGTAACACTTCAACCTGGATTATGTTTAATGTCAAATTTATTCATGACATTTACTCTCTCTAACACAACGTCAACACTGGAACAGTGAAAATTTGTATTTTTTCACAAATCTAAACTCAACCTGTTCACAAGCGACAAGTGAAAAGTGCATAAGTAGTGTATTAATAGATAAACTTGACAGTCTCTTAAATTAAAAATTACTTAAAACAGAAGCCTTTTATATCGGTGAGTTATTTTGATGGAATGGCCGATGTCCGATATTTAACTTTATCGCCTAATAATATCGTGCATCCCTAATTTAAACAACAATTTTTCCCCCTCTTTACAAGAATCTGATCTTTTCATTTGTCTTAATTTGTAAAAAATATAAATATAAGTTAAAAATCATTAAATATTTTTATTTTGACAATGTCACCCTAATGGCCACAAAAGTCTCCTCCAACAAACTTAAGGTGGCCCATGGGCCACCAGTTGATAATCACAGTTGTAGCAGGTTGTTGTGGCTCTGGACACGTTTAATTTAGTGAAAAAAGGTGTAAAAATGGCTCTTTTGATCATAAAGGTTGCAGACCCCTGAGTCAGTGGAAAGAGACATGACTAGTGCCCTGCTTCAAACTGAATAAATTACACACCTTCACAACAAGACGGTTAGTATTTCTGTGAAGTGAAATGTCATTATGCACATTAGAAGCTGATTTAAGCGTTAATTGAACATTCTTTTTTTGTTTTTCCTCTTTAAATCAATTAAGTGTCTCTTCCTGTTCACCCAAACCAGATGTTCTCTGTTTGCTCCTGTACAGTTCTGACGTACCTGTGAACACGGTTTCAGTGTCTTTGGTGCTGTTGGTGAACAAGTTGAAATGACAGTACTGGGTTTTTTTTTGTTGTTGTTGTTTTTTTTGTATTGTGACCCTTTTTTTTTGTGCTTACTTTGTAATGTACTTGATGTCACTTTTTTAAAAGACTTGTATAAGTTTTTCAACTTAAGTGAAGATTTTGACACCACGTTGCATTGTGCTAATTTGTATTATTCAGGGCGGTTTAGAAAATTATTACAAGTTTATTGTTTTTACCCGCTTTGTTTTTCCTCATTTTGGGAACTAAAACGGATCCAAACGACAATACCTCGACCGAACACCATCTTATGATAATTTAACCAAATTAACTGAAAAGTTTATTGAATTTTGTGAAGACGCGTGAGCTCTACAATCACCCTGACACGTCACCTCTTGCACTCAAAAGACTGAAATTAAAATTTGAAGAGTTTTAAGTGCCTTAAGTCAGTGGCATAGAAACTTAACATGACTTGACCTTTGCAATGCTGCATGAGCACATATGCACCTCAGAAACATTTGTCCTCCTAAATAACTGCATTTCTTTTTGTTGTTATAACAAATAAATTTACTAATCATCAATAAATTTAATTTATAGCCATTAGAAAGTAATACATATAAGAAACCCATGTTCTGCTTTACTTCATAGGAAAATCTCTGCAACGACATGCTTTTCTCTTCTGTGATCCTCAGAAGTCAATCACTTATGGCCTGATACAAAACACCAGTAATCAATAATCACTGACTCTGAAAGACCATAAATCATCTGTTTTAGTTATGATATCTGGGCCCTAAGAGAAGGCAAGAATGACTTGCAGGTTTAAAAATAAATTCTTTGTTCAGCACCATGGAAATCAACAAATTAAGATTCTGATTCCCATTTTTGTTTGGTTTCAATAAAGCCACATTCACATTTCTAATTATAGAATCATAAAGTGAAATTAATCTCAATTCTGTACATAAATTGTACGTATTTTGCCGTGCCGCCAACAGTTTATGTTCGTCACAAAGCCTTACGTTTGTCTTTACTTCCCAAGCCACTGAGGTTGAGTTGGACTTGACGGCCTTCTGTAAAGCTACCCGACATCTGCCTTGTGTTATGTTTGTTTTCTGCTGTACATTCATTTTGCCGAGTGCAAGATTTTTAAAATTATAGAGTAAAAAAAAACAATACTTTTGAGTGGTGTTTGTCTCTAGTTCTTCAAAAGAAAGGGGTTGATGGTTTGCAGGTTCATGTAGCTGCCACAAGAGGGAGATCCTGGTTAGTAGAAAAAGCTCCAGCTAACATTCCTCTGCTTGTGTGAACTGTGTTGGGATCTAATAATCAGTGCTAGACCTAATGCTTTCCACTTAGAGGTAAGTGGAGATGATCTCATGGTCTCTGTGTTATTCACACAACAAATCTGTTTTTGGGAGGATATGGTGGTGGTGGTGGGGGGGAGGGGACAGGGAAATGGCCTCAGTCATAACAACAGGGTGACACCTCTGGGAGATCAAAGGGGATCAAAGGAGTTCATCTTACCTGCACTGACATTTAGTAAGGTGGAGATAAAAGCTCTGCCTCAAAAGATGTGCAGCCATTCAAACACGCAAAGTGCTAGTGTTTGTCAGGTGTCCATGATGTGTCGAGCATGTTTACACACACACACACACACACGGACACACACACACACACAAATGGAAGGGCTCACACTCAAATGTGATCAGCAGATGATGTTCAAGTTCCAAATTACCATCAAGACTGTCCCAAACTTCAACATCTATCTATCTATCTATCTATCTATCTATCTATCTATCTATCTATCTATCTATCTATCTATCTATCTATCTATATCTATCTATCTATCTATCTATCTA